TATCCATGCTTATGTTCTACAGTAATTATGTTTTTCTTTGGTATTTTGATCACCATTTTTGTTTTGTATCTTCCGTGCAGGAACTGGACATTAAGTCTCATCTGGAGAGAAAACTACAATATGTCGAAGAGGAAAAGCACAGATTGGAATGTCGACTCAAGAACACGGAACTTGAACTAAAAGAAATGCAAACAAGTCTTGAACAGTCATCTGCAGAACTATTGAAACCTCAGTCTTGAGCTCTCACGCATGAAGAGTTCCTATGACATTTGAGAAATGGGCCCTAGATACTGATATTTTAAGAGAATCAGAGAGGGGAAGAAATAAACTAACAAACTAACTTCTCCAGCTTCCCCACCATCCTTATATCTTCATGCTTTTCAGGTTCAACTGCCATTCTCTTTGGCGTAAAAAATGAACTTAGCGTTCGTTGTCTTTTCATAATGAAACAAAAACAAAAGAACAACGTCCACAAATGAAGCGTGAATCAATAGGCAAAGTAACATGTGCAGAAAGTCGAAATGTACGCTCTAGTCTCTCCTGGAATTGCCTGGAATGATGCCTAACACAAAAACTACTCGTAAGCACATAGTGTGAAATGGCAGTCATTTCGCAAGCAGCCTCATTTTAGGCTAGTAAGCACACCTATTTTTAAATTTACTTTTGTTATTGGCTGCTGCTTTAGAAGAACTAATACACGAGATAACTTTTTTTTGCATCAGTATGACTCCACGATAATTTCATTTTGTGTCTGAATGGAATATTCTGCATCAAAGATGCAAAAACGCAGCCTAGACTGAACACTGCAACTTGATGCATTGTTTATATTCTTCATCCTCCCATGACTTGAAGGTACTTGTCATTGCCACCAAATACGCAGACTCACAGTTAAAATAAACCTTACTCTCTCATTTCAAGGTGGCTGCCAACAAGTATGTGTAGACATGTACCTTATACAGTGGAACCTCACTATAACGAAGGGCCAAGGGACTGGTGAAATTTGCTTGCTATGACAAAGTTTGGTTATATCAAGATTCTTTTTCTCATATTTTACTATTGCTGGGGTAAAGAAAATCATTTGTTATACCGAGGACTTTGTTATAATAGAGGTTTGTTATATCCATTGTACGAGACTTGAAATACCCGTTATCCTTACTGAAAGTCCTTTCACTAGAAAATTTGGGACATCTCCCTATTTATTTCACTACTCACTACTTTTCCCAGCTCTAGAATCTTAAAATTCTTGCCTTTTGCGAGTTGGCAAGTCTGGGATTGACGAGGACCTCAATTATCAATATAATAGTTACTAAGATGCTTTTATATGTTATACCTGAAGTAAAGTTACTGGCATTCTCCTTCCATCCTTAAGCCAAAGCGCTGACATGCCTAACTTAACACCAATAGTTCCCACTCTCTTGGAGCCAGTAGTCCATCCAACTTTATCGGGGTTAATCTTTACAGGGCGTCTAAAACGCACCCCTCTAGATTTCTGTAATTCTTTTTCGACGTATTCCTCTGTTAGAGGTTTTAAAGCGTCCCTAGGTCCATGGAGCAACGAAGGATCGTTCTGATAAACTTCCAGTAGGTTCCTCGGAGATAAGCTTTGTACGCCATTTGTTTCTGCATCGTCTGATCCCGCATTTGCACAATACAGTCGTTTTTGCGCAGAAATTATTGTCCTCAAAATGCTTTTGTTTAAATATGGAGTCCTTATTCTGTTGAATGGCGAATAAATGGTGGACAAAATCCTAAAAGTCTGAAAAGTCCATTTCAAGCAATGCGGTACTCGAGAGGCCGCCATGATGGATGTGTCAATCCCAGACTTCTTTCGTTTTATGTGGCTTATAGCACTAGGGTAGGGTGGGTTATTTGACTTTCCTGAGAAGTCACAGATAAAAGTTTACCTTAGTAAACCTCAACTTTTAACTTAGTGCTCTTTCCGTTTTTTTATACTGTAGATGGAAGTAGCGTGAAGTGTGGAGTGTAATCGTTTAGATAATTTTAAGAATTATTTACCATTTACAACTGGAAATATTGATTAGTCAATTGATGATTCGAGAACACCGGGCTTGGCGCCAAGGGGAACAAAAGGCGGTTACTAAGCGACCGCAACTCCGCAAGGATTCACAAAACAGTTGGGCATTCCGTGACATAATAAGTAGTTACTGAATAGGAAAATTAGGTCTGTTTTACCCGTGACGCTGTTCAAAGAAGATGACTCCAGTTAACGATAAGCTTTGTCTCCGAGATGAAAACCTCGATGGCCGAATCCGCCGATACGGATTCGAATACGGCACGAAATAAGCTGACTGACGCTGGTATCAAAGTTGACTTCTTAGTGTTCGCAGGAGATTTGGTCGAAAAAGCTCTTGAAGCGGCTATGACTGAAGTTCCATCTAGCAACGATAACCAGGTAACGTAGTAACTTTTTGTTGATATTGAATAATGTATTGTTTTTATTTTGTGGTATTGTATTTGTGGTATTCTGTAGTGGTCAAGTTCCAAAATGTCATGTCAACAGAGCAACCATTTGAAAAGAGTGCTTCGGTAAACAAGTTTTATTTGCTAAACGACCTTTAGCTCAACTTTGATAGCCGATTGCTCAGGGCTCTGTGTAGGAAAATGTTTGGTGGTGTTACTCGTACTAGTGTCTTACCATGGTCTCCAAAAATATAAGCTTACATGTAATTTGTGCAAAGGGTCTAACATTGTGAAGAGCTATGATTGTTAATTTGGTTTCAGTTTACAGTACTGCACAGGTTGTCGAAACGTCAGTCACTGTCAACAACAACAGTCCTATTCAGGACTACGTTCACCCGGACGATCAAACTCAACCTTTTGATATGACTCCTGGGTTCAAACCTTTCACAGTACTGTAAAGGTTAAAGGATGTTTTAATATGTATGTTATGGTTCAAGTCCGTCCTTGGTTTGAATTTTATTTTCTTTCGTTTGTGGGTATGGTTATGCCTTGAAACAAAGGAAATGTTATTTAGACTAAGGAAAAAGTTCAACCAGTCCAACAATACCCATTGATTTGTCCTCTCAGTCTATCAGTCAACTCTATTGATTTTTAAAAACGGAGTATCTAGAGTGAGCTTGTTCTTTGATTAACTATACTATGACTCTGTAAGTTATTGTGCCCCATTAAATGAGCTAGCTCAATTTTTGTACTTACAGTAGCTCAGGGCACCCAGGGGGGTACTCAGGATTTCAAATGAAAGGGATGATCAAATGGGGGCAAAAATCAACACCCAAAAAAATCCCCAGAACTTAAAACAAAACCCAAAAAAATCCCTGGACCAAATTTTACCCCCCAAAATATCCCATACCGAATTTCCGAGCCATAAAAATTCCCAAAAAGCAGTAAATGATAATAACACAAAAAATAGAAACATTAGTAATGGAATGTTTGTGTTTGTTTATTCATCTCACCATCTGCAGTAAGAACCTTTTTCACATCTGGTGGTCATTGTCAGAACACTCGAGACACTCAAGAACATATTCTGTTAGATGCTTTATGAACTACCGTATGTTACTTTATTTGCGGAACTACGTAGCCGGGATGCACAGGAACTGTCACGAATCTTCAGATGGTTTTGCTGAATATCCAAAAAAATCCCTGCTTAAATCAAGCTACCCCAAAAAATACATGCCAAAATTTTCCTACCCTAAAAGATCCTGAAATCAAGAATTTAAACCCCAAAAAATCCTTTGATCTTCCCTGTCACTTAAAATCTGGGGTACTCCCCCCAGGCCAGGGGTTACCTCTTCAACCATAACCAATGAGTCAAGCCCTGGTTATGTTAACAATAAACAATGCAATACAAGGGCCTCATCTCATGAGCCTGGCAGGCTGGGCTGTCCTGTTTACTAAGGCCCAGTTCAGACGCCGAACCTTTCATGAGCCGAACCTAATGCAAATTAAGGCCGACCCAAATTATTTAGACCGGCTAAATTGATTCAGATGCCGATCTTAATTCCAGCCGAACTAAATTCAGAAGGTGAAAAATGCGCATTTTGGTCAAACTGCTTACAAAATACTTTATAAGAATTTATGCATTAGGTTCGGTACATGAAAAGTTCGGCGTCTGAATCAAAGGCGTTCCAAAGTCCATCCAAAGGCGAAATTCCCGGTCGGGCTAGCCGAAAAGAACAGGTGAGCCGTTCCAAATTGAAACAGGCGTTCCTAATTGATTCAGACGGCGAACTTTTCATGTACTTAATTCAATGTATTAGGTTCAGCTCATGAAAAGTACGGCGTCTGAACCGGGCCTAAGACAAATTTTTGCCTTGGTTCCATATGAGAAATTTCAGCCCAGTTTCTGAGATGAGAATTAAAAGGCCAAAGATCTTGAGATTTCTGGCTTAAAATTCCAGAAACAAAGCATACAAGCTGAAACACAAAAATTTTAACTTTCACAACTTTGACAACTCTTAAAGCTGTATTATTGCAGTACATTAAATAGGATTCATATATGATATGGAAAATATGGCAGGCATTGCAAGTTGATGCCATCTGGGCTACCAGAATTCATCCCAAAAACCTAGCCAGCCCACCCTCTCATATGAACACATTGAAAGTTTTACAAAGGAATTAGTGATAAGGAGAGATCTCCGAAATTGGGCCAGCCCAGTCAACCGGGCTCGTGAAGGGGTCCCATTAGTAACATAATAATATTTTTGTTGCATTGAATGTAGGGTTCAGCGAATGGGGAGATTGACAGGACAGCAGATTTAAAGGAAGCGGGGAATGATCCTGAAGCAGACAACTCTCACGGTGCAGGAACTGTAGAAACAGGAGAAAAACATGAACAAACTGATCTTGGAAGATCTAAATCATCACAGAGTGATCATATTTATGACTCAGTTGATGCAAACGTAGTTTCAAATCCCTCGCAAGACGAAAACAGGACAAAATTGACATCTGCATCTTCTTTTGATCAGGAGAAGGAGCAGAGTTCTACAATTGTTCAGGGTGAACATGAATCAAATACTGCTGTTCCTAAAATTGAAATAATTGAAGGGTCCACTACGTTAAGTGATTCCAGTTCTGATGACGATTCTGATGCTAGAGAAGAGAGGAGAAAAAAGAAATTGACAAAGAAAAAGAAAACTGATGAAAATAGGTCAGATGACTATGATGATGTGGATGAACTTAGAAGTCAAATAGACAGCTTATCAAAGGAAAATGAAACAAACAAAGAACGTATAGAAAATGTATTGAAAGAGAAAATGTCATTAGAGGAAAGTCTTGAGGATGAAAGAAGTAAAACCCAGGTAATTACAGTTGGTAACCATAAACATGTAAGGAGGTATATGAGTAATTTAGCGCAGATGCTGTCATCAGGAAAATTTAGTGGTCTCTATGATACTGTTATTGTATTCTAGGGCTGTCACTGAGGGTCAGGGGCAGAAATTCTGTTCAAACTGTTGAACAGCTGTTCAAACCACCACCTACTATAATTGCACATACTCAGAGACTTGAAATCTTAGTGATAATTCAGTATTCTGTATTTTGTTTGGTTATTTAGTCTCAGGTTGGATCAGTGCAGAGTTTAACTGATTAGAATTAGAAAAAGAAGTCTTATTGTTATTGGTAGTCTATGTGCAACCACCATCCTTTATCAAAAGAACTACATGTAGTGGACCCCAATACTGGAGACACCCAAAAAGTCTTTCCTGAGATCACCACCTCAGTTTAGGGTGAATTAAGTCTGTTTTGATAATTATTTTGTCAGTAAACCATTAAATCTGTGATAGGTACAGGTTACTATAACATTAATCTTTCATTTTCATTTCTTCTTTATTTTTAATTGCTTATCAGGTGCTTAGCAGAGAAAAAGAAGAACTCAGAGAGCAGCTTTCTAGTCAGTCTGGTGATCCTGGTAATAGTGCAGCTATAGTTGAAGAAAAAGAGAAGCTGATTACAGAATTACAACAAGAAAAACAACAGCTGCAAGAGAACATTGAGGATTTGAAGAAAGAGAAACAAGAAGCAATTTCTTCATCAAGAGAAGCTATACAGGATCTTGAGAACAAGTTGAAGAAATCCGAAGCAGAAAACAGGGCAAAGGATCAAAGACTTCAGGGAGCTTCTGAGAATGTCAATAAATCACTGTCATCTTTACATGAGCAGGAAAAGTTGACAAGCAGCCTCCAAGAGGAGATTGAGTTGTTAAAAAATCAGGTGGAGCTGCTGCAGGAAGATGTCGCAAACAAAGAAGAGGAGTTAAAAAGAACAAAGGAGAATGAAAGGAAAGCCACACAAGAAAATTCAAAACTTCAGGCTAAACTTAGTAATGCACAGACTCTTAGTTCTCACCATGATAGTGCGGTACAGAAGCTTAGGAGTGAGATAGCAACTCTACAGCAGAAGAACACTTTGCTTGAAAAGAGAATTTCAGATCACAAAGTTTCACAGGATGCAAACAAAAAACTACAGGACAGAGTCCGAGAATTGGAGGAGAAGGTGGTCAAGGTCAATGAGGAAAAGAAGAAAATCAAAACAGATTATGAAGAGGCTGTTAAAGCTTTGGAAGCTGTTGATAAAGTGGTAAGTGTTTCCTTTTAGTATGATCATTAAAAGAGGCCCTGCCAGGGTAAATTCTGACAAGCGACATGGCCCAAAAAGTAGCGACAGCGTAAAATGAAATTGCGACAAGGGACAACCTCCCTCGGCCAAATTGCGACAGTGACCGCAAAGCCGACAATAAGCGACAAGCATTTATAAACACTGACACGAGACGTTTTAAAATTCCGACGGGCGACATGGGACCCCCTCCCCCCTCCCCGGCAGGGCCTCTTAAAACCTTTTACCAAGTACATGTGAACATTGAGTTCCTAGTTGGCTGTCTGGCTTAGACCAATCCTTCCACAGTTCCTGAGGCTTGAGGATTAAGAATGTATAATCGATCACATTTATGAAAAAGTAGACTGTTGTTTGGAAAGGGCAGAGGATAGCTGGGGGAGATGATCTAGCTCTGCCATGATATGTTCTTTAATTCTTTACAACACACATCTTACTCCACCCAAATGCATATAAATGGTTTCCAAGAAGTGGATAATTCACAAGAAACATTGCTTAAGGTTAAGTTTCAAAAATGGCTACATGTAGAACATCTGAATGGTACAGTTAAGATAATTATAACCTTGAGTCTGATTACCTGTATTTTCTTTGTTTCCACAGTACAGTGTCAGGGAGGATATGCTGGGAAAGTACAAGGCTGACTATGAAGAAGCTACAGATACAATTAAAGAAAGTATGTCAGACTATAACCATCTACTTTTATGACACATGTTAGTTCCTTTTACATTTGTAAATCAGGACCTGAAGGCTAAGTTAGCCAGGTTGAAAAATTTGTCAGAGTTCTCCTGTGCATGGATTACTTAGGGCCTTGGAATCTCAAGTGGCCTTTATATGACATGTATATATTTCAATGGTGTCTGCCAGTTGCCTAGCAACCTTGATACACAACCTTACTTGGCCAGCCAGTTTCCCAGAGCTTTACAAGATTAAAGATGATTCCATCACATCATAAGTTAATTTGACCCTGTTTTGATTCTCAGATTGTTTTTAGAAGTGTTTCTCTAACAGTTGATGGTGTTGAAGTCAGTTTGCTTAAGCATAACACCTTCATTAGCACAATGTTTCTAGATTTTTTTGTGGCTTAGTGGCAAAGCTCAGGTGCCCCTTATAATTTCGGTTCAAGGTTCGACTGCAGGCAATGTCACTTTATTTAATGCACTAGTGGAGCATATGTTACAGGATAAACTTACCCTATAAAGCTGGCATATAATTCTCTCAAGCTTATATCAAGCTCATGTAGCCCTGTATCAGTGTGATGCCAGTGATGGTGACTTTTGTTGTTATTTCTCTGAATGTTAATCACAGATGAGAAGGAGATTGCTAAACTCAAGAGTGACCTTTCAAGAAACAAAGAGAAGCTGACCCGAGCTCTGGAATACAAAGCTGACAGAGAAGAACTCAAAGATCATCTCAGGAAGAGAAAAGAAGCAATTGCACTGCAGAAAGAGGAAACAGAACAAGTCAGGAAAGACTTGGATGAAGAGCGACATGAACACAGAATGGCACAGTAAGGACCTTCCACTCTTCATTTCCTTAACTGCAGGGCTGCAAAAGAGTCCTGTCCAGTTGTCCGGGACGAGTGGATTTTCTCGCTGGGCAAGTAACTTGTAAAGCTTACTTACCCAATGGGAAAGAGGCCGGGAAAGTCATCCTCTAGTTAACAAAATCATTGAATAAGACGGGGAAGAAGTGGCCCCGGTCAAGCAAAACTGACAGGTGCTTGCCTAAAGGATAGGCTTGAATTCCATTTTTTTTAGCCCTGAACTGATATCGTGAAATACGTGCCAATTCTGTAATCTCTGTAAGCAGACAGGGGTTAAGGGGATAGGGAGGAAGGGTAAGGGACCTTTTCCCTGCTCTCACTTTTCTCCGATCCTCTTCAGTTGATGCTTACAAACACTCTTTTTATGTAAGATCGATCCCCGTATGGAACGCGTTGTCAGCTGACTTTGTTATTGCTTCATCGTACCCAGAATTCATCAGAAGAGTGTCTACTAATTTATTAATTTACATCGTTGTTCTTTATTTGTTCTGATACCATGTAATTAAGCGACCGCTGGCCGCTCCATAGCTGGATTAGCATTATTTGTAACTCTAGTGGCAATTACCATGATTAAAGATTTAAAGATGGCCCAAATTCTTAGCAAAATCGCTTTAAAAATTGGCTGGTCTAGGAAAACTCCGCAATTCGAATACTTGCCAATTGATCTGTAGAATTCAAATATTTCGTCTGAATCTCTCGGTCAGCCAGTTGCCACGCGCACTGACGAAATATCGAAACTTTACAAGACCCTGTCGCTATAACGGTGGGTTGTTAAAAATCTGTTTTTGCCATAGCATTGTTTATGCATATATTGTTGCTCTTAATTCAATTATTAGGGCAAGAGCACAGGAGAGAGGGCGAAAAATTCAGATGTTAAATCTAGAACTGGCTGAAGTGAAGGACACTTTGCAGGTGGGAATCTTAGAGAGGGTAAACGGGTCTTTGCGGTCCTTCCATTATTGCAGACACTTTCGGGATGCGAGCTTTTGTGAGAGAGATTCAACTATTCTTATGCCTTTAAAGTACCTAGTGAACAGCCAATAAATCAGAGTGAAACGTAAAGACTGGTTCTAAGGACTAATGTCCCCCAAGTTCTTTTATAATAGGCATTTACACCGGCTGTAGTGCCACTTCCAGCCTAGGAAATATCTTGGCTGAGCAAACGTGTTCATAGCCGCGAGACTGACAAGCGAACCATAAGAAGTAGACAATCAATGAATTTCGATATGTTGTGGAAAAGGGGATGCATAAATTAAACAAAAAAGGACAATGGTAAGAATAAAAAAAAGGGGGTTTCTAAATGTTGAACGATGCCGCTCAATGTCTGTCATAACGTCAGTAGTTATGTAACATTGGGAACAAAATATGTGTCCGAATCTGTAATAGCTACAGTCCGTATAGGGGGAGTTTGCTAGGCGTGTTGAATATGAGTGTTTGCCTAATTCAGTCATTAAACGTTTTATAGATTGCCAGAAATGTTATTGGCGAGAAAGAAGCCAACATGAAAAGTATCAAAGAGAGTTTGGATGCGGAGAAGGAGCAGAAACTTAAACTAGAAAAGGTAAGATGCGTCTGTAACCATAAGCAAAGTAGCATAATTACTCCATCTTACATTTGTCGTTGTTGCACACACCCTAATAATAAAGTCTGTGCGTCATTTTTCTCCATGACAGCTTTAGTTAATGTTTTATTTTCATTCTGAGGTAAAAGTGGTCACCCTCAAGTGTTTGACGCGGGAGATAGAGAGGAAAAGCCGTGACGTCACGTTGCCACGTTAGCAAAATTTCTGGATGACAACTCAAACTGAAAACGCCACTTTTAAAGTGCATCCGCACTTTTTCAAACTTCATCGATCTTATTCAGTTTCACTGATCTAATTTGTCAAATGTTGGCGAAGTTTTCTGGGTTGAACCCGAAAGGACAGTATCGTAACTTTATAAAAAAAAAAGAAAATTTTTGTGTTGTATTCACCTACTCCATAAAGCGGGTGCGTGAAATTAAGAAGTGTCATGTCGCAGTCGTCCGACGACAGCTAAGAAATGTACAAAAAGGCGTGATGCACGTGCAAAGTTGTAAACCTACTGCTTTCTGCCGTTCTCGTTGCCCTCACCGTCTTCGTTGCTTGGGCTCCCTATTGGTTTGGTTGAGAATTTTTTAAAATGTGACGTCACACAGTCTTCTCTCTATTTCACCTCCGTTCTACTGATTGGTTGTTTCTTGGTGGGACTCAGTACTCAAAGTAAACATAGCATGCGTGGTAGGTGTTTGAAGGGAAAGAGAAAGAGGGAGGGGAGGGTGAGTAAGGAGGAAAGGGAACCCTGCCTCGCGCTCCCGTCGGGGCCGCCTTTATTCCCCTTTGCCCTCTCCTATTAAACGCGTACCACGCTGGCTGAAGTAGACATCTCGTTAGCTTTCATGGTTACTTCTTTCTTTCTTTCTTTCACGTATCTATGCTTATGTTCTACGGTAATTATGTTTTTCTTTGGTATTTGGATCACCATTTTTGTTTTGTATCTTCCGTGCAGGAACTGGACATTAAGTCTCATCTGGAGAAAAAACTACAATATGTCGAAGAGGAAAAGCACAGATTGGAATGTCGACTCAAGAACACGGAACTTGAACTAAAAGAAACGCAAACAAGTCTTGAACAGTCAATAGTTAAACGAAGAGTGAGTAAACGCCTTGCCGTATTTTTCAGATATGAATGGAACTTCATCATCAGACTGCAGAATTTTGGGAATGAAAGGGTTACAAGTTTTTTGACAGCCCTGGCATCTATCTTAATTCACCTACTTTACAGCTCTGTATCAAGTCCGTTAACTACGGGCGAAGTTAACGGTACTTTCGCACGGCACTGGACGAATTTTTGACTGGTTGAAAATTTCAGAATCGGACCCTTCGTTCAAAATATTTTCATTCGGTTCACACGGACTTTGAACGGCTAGGCGTTTGAATTTTCGTGCGGTTAAGTTTGTTTCGTGCGAACGGAACACCTGAACATACAAATTTTCAACTGGTCGAAAATTTGCCTGGAACCGTGTGAACGCCACGTAGCGTAAGTTACTTAAACCAAGGACCCTTAACACTTAAATTCTTGTCATGTTTAACAGGATCTGGATCAGAATGTAGACAACTTACAACAAGATAAAAAGCTCTTAAACAAGCAGCTGGAGGAAAGAGGTGCTGAAGTAACAAAACTAAACGACACGATATCAGAGCAGGATCAAGAACTGGGTGAAAAATTACGTGAGATTGTGCAAATGGAGGTCCAGCTTGATGAGCTGCGGAATGAACTGTGGGATGTGTGGACGTCTTATCAAAATGATCGCCAGTGGTGGAAGCAGAGGGCTGACAAAGTTTTAGGGTAAGTGCTTAAATGGCTGTAGTCTTCACAAAAGTTATTTTATAGGAAACTCACTTGTGTCTTCCCCATATTGGGGTCCAGCGCTAAGTTTCCTTCGTAGGGAGGTGCCCGTCCAAAGAAGAGCCAAAGAGGACGACCAAATAACGGCAAATCCCAACTCCAGGTGCCTGTTTTAGAAGATTGCTCATCTACCGGAGGTGATTTAGAGAGTTGCGCAACATCAATGTACACCCGAATTCTCCCTGCTCACTATCCATGAGCTCATAGAAAGCGAGTGCGTAGATTGCCAGTAGTTTCTACTCGTAATGTATCAGTTCGTTGGTATGTTCTATTTGCAATACGATAGTGCTAGTAGTAGATCTCTGTTTTGTCTTGAGACTTTGGATCCAACACTTCTTTATGGGTTGAGGGGAGGCTGAGATATGGTTGACACTCAAGACTAACTCTAGCAGGTGTTTTGATCGTTTGGATCAACCAAAATGCGAGTCAAGGCAAAGCAATTTAATTTTCTATCATCGTTAAATTGTGTTGTTTTTAAAATGTACACGCACTAAATAAACTCTCATTTCAGAAGGAGACCAAAGAGTGCGCCTCCGAGAAGGAGACAAGATCATCAAAGTGGAGGAATGAGTTTGTCGTCCAGACGTCTTATGCTCAGGATGGGAGCACCACGTTTAAACCCAAGCTATATTGATAGTAGACATAAGGTATGTCAATGACGAATGTTGTTTGGGAGATTCTCGTTGAATGCCTTATTTGCTGGGGTAAAACAAGTGTGCTTTAGCCTATACTTCCCATCTGGGAAAAGCAACTGGTAAACAAAACTGGTTCTTGTCATGCTCATTTGTAAATTCACTGGTATCTAGTGCTACAGTTTCACATTGATCGTACTTATGCTGTGCTTCTTGACCAATTAAACGTCGATCTGCTGTTAAGTGCGACGTTTCGCGCGTGCCTAGTCTCGTCTTAATGGTAGACGGCTTAAACGTCCGAGGCGTCCTCTAGCATAATGTGGCCAGGATATCAAAACTCTTCTTGCGAAATTTCTGCCAATCCTCTCCTGTTAGGTCATTATTATTTTCACACCTACTCCACAAAGACGGTTTTTGTTACACTTGGTGATCCTAAGCGTTTGTTTTAAGACAAGAGTGGATGAGGACTTGACTTGTCTCGTTTTCAAAGAATAGACGAACATGTCTAACTGTCAGCGCAAACTCAAATTGAATGTTTCACACGTTCATTATTGCATGGATAGTACATTTGACACTGTCTTAATTATAACTTCCAGATTGCACGCCATAGACCAGCTCCTGCAGGCGAAGAACAAGCTCCTAAAGATACCACAGTAGAAAATGGTGATGCCAGCGATGGCAGCCCACAATTTGCCTCAGGACAGGCATCACCTCCATCAACCTCTCCCAGACCGCCCAACACCCCTCCATCAGGAAAGCCAAGGCCAAAACGCCCAGCGTCATCTTATGGCATAAGAACCTTCCCACCATCAGCGTGGTCTCGCCATAATGATGAGGCGATGGTAGGCATGGGATATTACAGTGACATGGGTCCTGTTATTGAGGAAGAAAGTCTAAATGGTTATGATGCCGATGAGGAGGTCTTTGCTTCTTGTGCTGTTCAAAAGGGCGACAGAGTCATGATACAGAGTAAAATTTCCGGTAAGCTAAGAATATCATGCAACACGAATAAGATTTACCACTTGTTACCTTTGGTACTCGTTGTTACCCTTGTTACCCCTTGTCACCCTTGTTACCTGTTGTTATCCTTTTTACCCCTTGTTACCCCTGTTGCCCTTGTTACCCCTTGTTACCTTTGGTACCTGTTGTTACCCTTCTTACTCCTTGTTACCTTTGGTACCTGTTGTTACCCTTGTTACCCCTTGTTACCCTTGTTAGCCCTTCCTACTCCTTGTTCCCCTTGTTACCCCTTGTTTCCCTTGTTACCCCTTGTTACCCTTGTTACCCTTGTTACCCCTTGTTACCCCTTGTTACCCTTGTTACCCCTTGTTACCCCTTGTTACCCTTGTTACCCTTGTTACCCTTGTTACCCTTGTTACCCCTTGTTACCCCTTGTTACCCCTTGTTACCCCTTGTTACCCTTGTTACCCTTGTTACCCTTGTTACCCTTGTTACCCTTGTTACCCCTTGTTACCCTTGTTACCCTTGTTACCCCTTTGTTACCCCTTGTTACCCTTGTTACCCCTTGTTACCCTTGTTACCCTTGTTACCTCTTGTTACCCTTGTTACCCTTGTTACCCCTTGTTACCCTTGTTACCTTTGTTACCCCTTGTTACCCCTTGTTACCCTTGTTACCCCTTGTTACCCCTTGTTACCCCTTGTTACCCCTTGTTACCCTTGTTACCCTTGTTACCCCTTGTTACCCCTTGTTACCCTTGTTACCCTTGTTACCCCTTGTTACCCCTTGTTACCCCTTGTTACCCTTGTTACCCCTTGTTACCCCTTGTTACCCTTGTTACCCCTTGTTACCCTTGTTACCCTTGTTACCCTTGTTACCCTTTGTTACCCCTTGTTACCCCTTGTTACCCCTTGTTACCCTTGTTACCCCTTGTTACCCCTTGTTACCCCTTGTTACCCTTGTTACCCTTGTTACCCCTTGTTACCCTTGTTACCCTTGTACCCCTTGTTACCCTTGTTACCCTTGTTACCCCCCTTGTTACCTTTGTTGTTACCCCTTGTTACCCCTTGTTACCCTTGTTACCCCTTGTTACCCCTTGTTACCCTTGTTACCCCTTGTTACCCCTTGTTACCCTTGTTACCCTTGTTACCCCTTGTTACCCCTTGTTACCCTTGTTACCCTTGTTACCCCTTGTTACCCCTTGTTACCCCTTGTTACCCCTTGTTACCCTTGTTACCCCTTGTTACCCTTGTTACCCCTTGTTACCCTTGTTACCCTTGTTACCCTTGTTACCCCTTGTTACCCCTTGTTACCCTTGTTACCTCCCTTGTTACCCTTGTTACCCTTGTTACCCCTTGTTACCCCTTGTTACCCTTGTTACCCCTTGTTACCCCTTGTTACCCCTTGTTACCCCTTGTTACCCTTGTTACCCCTTGTTACCCTTGTTACCCTTGTTACCCTTGTTACCCCTTGTTACCCCTTGTTACCCTTGTTACCCTTGTTACCCCTTGTTACCCCTTGTTACCCTTGTTACCCTTGTTACCCTTGTTACCCCTTGTTACCCTTGTTACTTTTCCCCTTGTTACCCCTTGTTACCCTTTTTACCCCTTGTTACCCTTGTTACCCCTTGTTACCCTTGTTACCCCTTGTTACCCCTTGTTACCCCTTTACCCCTTGTTACCCTTGTTACCCCTTGTTACCCCTTGTTACCCTTTGTTACCCCTTGTTACCCTTGTTACCCCTTGTTACCCTTGTTACCCCTTGTTACCCCTTGTTACCCTTGTTACCCTTGTTACCCCTTGTTACCCCTTGTTACCCTTGTTACCCTTGTTACCCCTTGTTACCCCTTGTTACCCTTTGTTACCCTTGTTACCCCTTGTTACCCCTTGTTACCCTTGTTACCCTTGTTACCCCTTGTTACCCCTTGTTACCCCTTGTTACCCTTGTTACCCCTTGTTACCCTTGTTACCCCTTGTTACCCTTGTTACCCCTTGTTACCCTTGTTACCCTTTGTTACCCTTGTTACCCCTTGTTACCCCTTGTTACCCTTGTTACCCTTTGTTACCCCTTGTTACCCCTTGTTACCCCTTGTTACCCTTGTTACCCCTTGTTACCCCTTGTTACCCTTGTTACCCTTGTTACCCTTGTTACCCCTTGTTACCCTTGTTACCCCTTGTTACCCTTTGTTACCCTTGTTACCTTGTTACCCTTGTTACCCTTGTTACCCCTTGTTACCCCTTGTTACCCCTTGTTACCCTTGTTACCCTTGTTACCCTTGTTACCCCTTGTTACCCTTGTTACCCCTTGTTACCCCTTGTTACCCTTGTTACCCTTTGTTACCCTTGTTACCCCTTGTTACCCCTTGTTACCCTTGTTACCCTTGTTACCCTTGTTACCCCTTGTTACCCCTTGTTACCCTTGTTACCCTTGTTACCCTTGTTACCCTTGTTACCCCTTGTTACCCTTGTTACCCCTTGTTACCCCTTGTTACCCTTGTTACCCCTTGTTACCCTTGTTACCCTTGTTACCCCTTGTTACCCTTGTTACCCCTTGTTACCCTTGTTACCCCTTGTTACCCTTGTTACCCCTTGTTACCTTTGTTACCCCTTGTTACCCTTGTTACCCTTGTTACCCCTTGTTACCCTTGTTACCCCTTGTTACCCCTTGTTACCCTTGTTACCCTTGTTACCCTTGTTACCCTTGTTACCCTTTGTTACCCTTGTTACCCCTTGTTACCCTTTGTTACCCTTGTTACCCTTGTTACCCCTTGTTTTGTTACCCCTTGTTACCCTTGTTACCCTTGTTACCCCTTGTTACCCCTTGTTACCCCTTGTTACCCCTTTTACCCCTTGTTACCCCTTGTTACCCCTTGTTACCCCTTGTTACCCTTTGTTACCCTTGTTACCCTTGTTACCCCTTGTTACCCTTGTTACCCTTTGTTACCCTTGTTACCCTTTGTTACCCCTTGTTACCCCTTTGTTACCCCTTGTTACCCTTGTTACCCTTGTTACCCCTTGTTACCCTTGTTACCCCTTGTTACCCTTGTTACCCCTTGTTACCCTTGTTACCCCTTGTTACCCCTTGTTACCCCTTGTTACCTTTTGTTACCCTTGTTACCCCTTGTTACCCCTTGTTACCCTTGTTACCCCTTGTTACCCTTGTTACCCTTGTTACCCCTTGTTACCCTTGTTACCCCTTGTTACCCTTGTTACCCCTTGTTACCCCTTGTTACCCTTGTTACCCCTTGTTACCCCTTGTTACCCCTTGTTACCCCTTGTTACCCCTTGTTACCCTTGTTACCCTTGTTACCCCTTGTTACCCTTGTTACCCCTTGTTACCCCATTGTTACCCCTTGTTACCCCTTGTTACCCCTTGTTACCCTTGTTACCCCTTGTTACCCTTGTTACCCCTTGTTACCCTTTGTTACCCTTGTTACCCTTGTTACCCTTGTTACCCCTTGTTACCCTTGTTACCCCTTGTTACCCTTGTTACCCCTTGTTACCCTTGTTACCCTTGTTACCCCTTGTTACCCCTTGTTACCCCTTGTTACCCTTGTTACCCCTTGTTACCCCTTGTTACCCTTGTTACCCTTTGTTACCCCTTGTTACCCCTTGTTACCTTGTTACCCTTGTTACCCCTTGTTACCCTTGTTACCTTTTTTACCTTTGTTACCCCGTGTTACCCCTTGTTACCCTTGTTACCCCTTGTTACCCTTGTTACCCCTTGTTACCCTTGTTACCCTTGTTACCTTTGTTACCCTTGTTACCCCTTGTTACCCTTGTTACCCTTGTTACCCTTTGTTACCCTTGTTACCCTTGTTACCCTTGTTACCCTTTGTTACCCTTGTTACCCCTTGTTACCCCTTGTTACCCCTTGTTACCCTTTGTTACCCTTGTTACCCCTTGTTACCCTTGTTACCCTTGTTACCCCTTGTTACCCTTGTTACCCCTTGTTACCCTTGTTACCCCTTGTTACCCCTTGTTACCCCTTGTTACCCCTTGTTACCCCTTGTTACCCCTTGTTACCCTTGTTACCCCTTGTTACCCTTGTTACCCTTGTTACCCTTGTTACCCCTTGTTACCCTTGTTACCCCTTGTTACCCTTGTTACCCCTTGTTACCCCTTGTTACCCTTGTTACCCCTTGTTACCCTTGTTACCCCTTGTTACCCTTGTTACCCCTTGTTACCTTTGTTACCCCTTGTTACCCTTGTTACCCTTGTTACCCCTTGTTACCCCTTGTTACCCTTTTTTACCCCTTGTTACCCTTGTTACCCCTTGTTACCCCTTGTTACCCCTTGTTACCCTTTTACCCCTTGTTACCCCTTGTTACCCTTGTTACCCCTTGTTACCCTTGTTACCCTTTGTTACCCTTTTTACCCCTTGTTACCCCTTGTTACCCCTTGTTACCCTTGTTACCCTTGTTACCCTTGTTACCCCTTGTTACCCTTGTTACCCTTGTTACCCTTGTTACCCCTTGTTACCCCTTGTTACCCTTGTTACCCCTTGTTACCCCTTGTTACCCCTTGTTACCCTTGTTACCCCTTGTTACCCCTTGTTACCCCTTGTTACCCCTTGTTACCTTTTGTTACCCTTGTTACCCCTTGTTATTTTTGTTACCCTTGCTACCCCTTGTTACCCTTGTTACCCCTTGTTATTTTTGTTACCCTTGCTACCCCTTGTTACCCTTTTTACCTCTTGTTACCCTTGTTACCCGTTGTTACGCTTGTTACCCCTTGTTATGCATTGTTACCCTTGTTACCCCTTGTTACCCCTTGTTACCTTTTGTTACCCTTGTTACCCTTTTTACCCTTGTTACCCCTTGTTACCCTTGTTACCCCTTTTGTTACCCCTTGTTACCCCTTGTTACCCTTGTTACCCCTTGTTTCCCCTTGTTACCCCTTGTTACCCTTGTTACCCCTTGTTACCCTTGTTACCCCTTGTTACCCCTTGTTACCCTTGTTACCCTTTGTTCCCTTGTTACCCGTTTTTACCCTTGTTACCCCTTGTGACCCTTGTTACCCCTTGTTACCCTTTTTACCCCTCGTTACCCGTTGTTACCTTTGTTACCCCTTGTTACCCCTTGTTACCCTTGTTACCCTTGTTACTCTTGTTACCCTTGTTACCCTTGTTACCCCTTGTTACCTTTGTTACCCCTTGTTACCCCTTGTTACCCCTTGTTACCCTTGTTACTCTTGTTAACCCTTGTTACCCCTTGTTACCCTTGTTACCCTTGTTACCCCTTTTTACCCTTTGTTACCCCTTGTT